ATGTTCTGGGGTGGTGGGGAAAAGTGGGATCCTGCTGCCTGTTAAACTGCGAGGCGGTGGCTGTCCCCACACACCCTTCCCCCAGGCTTGCGAACTGGGACAACTTGACTGGGAGGGTGTTTCATGGTAACATACACTGCAAAATGTTTGATCAAAAGAGGCGCCCACCCCAACGCTGCCTACGCCAAATACCCGGTCTCCTGGCACCCTATCCATGCCTCTGGGGTTTTCTTGCCCCGCTGCCTTCATTTATGTGGCGGGGGAGGTTCTAAGTGACATTCTTCCAAATTAAAGCTGTGTGTTTATTACTCTGTGCGCACCAGATAAACCCCAAACAACAAACATGAAGGGTGTGAGAGAGTTTCTCCAATTATCAGGAAGATTTTCTATTAACAGTCAGTGGAGAAAAGCGGAGTGTAACCCTTAGAGAAAGTAATTCTTTGGAACGGAGGAATGGGCAACCGTGAGGCAAACACAATAATTTCACTGACCAGCACAGGACTGTTTCTTATACTCATTGTAGTGCTTTAACAGTGTGCTTTGAGCTCCACCTAAAATGCCCATGCATCTTTATTTGTTAGGAGAGAAACACCCTCCCCCCCATAATGGTGAGAAAAAAGTGCTGATTAGTGGCATGAAAGTGACTTTAATAAAGTAACAAGTTTGACCATGACTTGTAGGAAATCCAGCCAAGATGTGTTCTATTAATGAGTTGCCAAATGTCATCAGCCCATCAAGTTTGTTTTTGAAGTTAATGAGCCTTTCCCTTGATGCTGAGCCTTTATTTGTCCTGAAACGCCTAACATCATGCCAGGAAATTAATTGCAATAGAATTTTTATCTTTAGTGAAAAGCGACAGAGTCCTGTGGCACCTTATAGACTAACAGACGTATTGGAGCATAAGCTTTCGAGGGTGAATACCCACTTCGTCAGATGTGTATGCATCTGACGAAGTGGGTATTCACCCACGAAAGCTTATGCTCCAATATGGCTGTAAGGTGCCACGGGACTCTTTGTCGCTTTTCACAGATCCAGACTAATGCGGCTACCCCTCTGATACTATCTTTAGTGAAATTCATTTGCTGATCCGGTGTACAGTGAAAACTCAAGTTGTGCCATGAACTTGGTAGTAAGTGAGTTCCAGATATAATACTTGACATTTTAGTAGAGTGCTTAGCAGCTGAACATCTCAGGGTCCTTTAGACATGTTGCTAAATATTACTCCGGTATTACTGGGGAAATTGAGCCCTCAAACAGATTAAGAAATTTACCCAAGGTCATAAAAACATCAGTGCCAAGGTTGGAAATAGAACCCACTTCCCTACTCTAGCCACTAGACCATGAGGCTTCTCGGTGTTGTATTGTTTCTAGGGAAGTCTTTTTAAATGGTGTGCAAAAATAATCCAGTTTAATTCATATTTAAAAATCAACCCAGAGCTTCACTATGTATTGTAAATGTGTGTTGCTGTCAACCGGTCTCTTTACTAGAGTAATACACAGGGCTGTGAATGGTTGGTTGGTTGTGCTGGACTACTTTGTTAAATCTTCCTTCTGAGTGTTCAAATCTATAGCATTTTATATAGTGATAAGAGCGCTTTTACCACACCCTTTGGCCGGGGTTTTGGAAGGAGCAAAAGGAAGTTAGGTGTTCAGTTCTTATTAATTTAATGGGAATTGGGTGCCTAACTCCCTTGGGTCTCTTTGAAACTCCTAGCTGTAAAGTCTGAGTTTCAGAAATCCTACCAAAAATCTATCTTCTGTTAGGCTATATCTACACTACCACATTTGTTGGTACAGTATAACTTATGGGAAAAAACACCCCTCTGAGCAACGCAAGTTTCACCAACAGACGCGCCGGTGTGGACAGTGCTATGTCGGCCGAAGAGCTTCTCCTGCCAACGTAACTACCGCCTCTCTTTGGGGATCGTTTAATTACGTTGATAGGAGAGCTCTGTCCCCATCCGCATAGAGCGGCTACACGAGAGGTCTTAGAGCGGTGCAGCTGCATTGGTACAGTCCGGTGCTGTAAGCTTTCTAGTGTATACCTAGCCTTGGTGAAGTGTACAAGATTTTGAGATAAACAAGTCTCTTTTTTTTGCCTCAGACCTGATAAAGAGCTCTGTGTAGCTTGAAAGCTTGTACTCTCCACCAACTGAACCTGGTCCCATAAAAGATATTCCCTCACCCACCTTGTCCCTCTCATATCAGCTACAACACCACTGCCAACTATCTTTAAGGCCTTGGCTACACTCGCGGATTCACAGCGCTGCCGCGGCAGCGCTGTGAAGTGCAAGTGTAGTCACGCCGCCAGCGCTGTGAGAGCTCTACCTCTCCGAGGGGAATAGCTTGCAGCGCTGCGAGCGAGCACAGCGCAGCAAGTGCAGCGCTGTGAATTGCCAGTGTAGCCAAGGCCTTAGTGTCGGACTTCACACCTAATGCCAGTAGATTGTGTAGAGGAGTGTATGTTTATCTTAAAATAAACTAGAGGAAAGTTTACACGTTTTTTATATTTTGAGGGTGTCTAGATTAGTTCAATGATTGTCTAGTAATTGTAACAGGCTGCTGAGAAGGTTGTCACATTATTATTAAATATAAATAAAAATGTCTCCTTTAAATCAGTTGCTGTTCCGCTGGTACTGTAGCATTGCTGTGATGCTTACTGTGAAAAGATTCTGCCTTTCCCCGATGTTTTTTAAACCTCCCAAAGTTACAAAAATACTAGTTTTGTTGGTTTTTTTTGTGTTTGTTTGGTAAATAGGCTCCCACATCTCAGTCTGTGTATGATTTAGCTTTAAGGTAAATACCACATTATGAATGCTCCTCAGGATGTGATCTTTGTCTGTGAACAGCAGCTGCTAAAACCTTCCAGTGCACACTGATGCTTGATTCTCCAAGTGTGTGTGTGTCTGAATATACCTGGTTAACCCTTTATATGGAGATTTTTTTAGCTCTGACTATCAAACACTATATTTTATTTTCTAGTCTGATTATGTTGTAACGGACGTTTTTAACCACAGCTTCAGACTCACGAACTGGATGTCATTTTCTTTCACGTGTGACAGCAGGGATTCCCTGATATTTCGACAAACTACCGTTGAACTGGGAGGTTAACATTTTTGTTAAAGCATGTTTAGCCTGGCAGGCTTTAATTTGAGCATCCAACTTTCCTGATAACTCCTCAATTCAGTGGCTGTTTGATGAAAATTTTGCTGGCTGTTATTTTAAAATCATGAAAGAGAATGTGTATAGCGAGATTTTCTAGATACGCCAGCTTGGACTTATGTCAAGCACTGGTTCATAAACTAACCAAGGACAGGGCTGGTTGTTGCTTGAATGGAAGACCTTGAGGAAATCCAGCATGATGATGCAGCGGGTGGCACTCGTCTTTCTGAGTCAGCAACTGGAAGTGCTGTTTCTGAAATACATAAAACTGAGGCCTTTAATCTTTGGTCCCATTAGAGATTCCATAGTGCTTTTCAAAACGTGCTGAAGATAGATTTCTTGGCCAGATTCCAGCGTAGGTAATTAGTCCACCTACCTACAGTTCTTCCTACAATGTTGTGTTGCTGCGTTCTTTTAAACACCTGCCGTTTCACTTCTGGGATACCTGCAGTTGAGCAGTGGGTGAAATGAACCCTTTGTATAGCTGATCAGTTTTTCACCGGGTTGGAAGAATTGGATTTATATTTTACATTTATATACAGTTTAAGAGCTAAAAGGCTGATATGCTCCTAACTACTCTTGAGCTTTGAGAGGGTGGATAGGGAATTTGTTGGTTGTCACCCCTCCATCCCCCCCCCAGAATACTTCCTCCCAGATATATTGGTCACTAGCCTTGTGTAATACGCAAAGTGGGGTTTCCTATAACAATTGGAGCAATCCTTTTGGTGGTGAATGCAACCGTTGTCGGTTTTCTAACATCGCTCAATGCTGAAAATCCAGGCTCAGTTGATCGATGCTCAAGAAGCTAGTTGTTTCAGAGGTCCAAATTAGGTAGGTCACTCTTATTGACAGCAAACTAAGTGGCCAGAGTGGAACTGGCCCTGCATGTGTTACAAAAGGAAAGAGTCTAACAGTTTGAGGAGCAGCAAACTTTGGCAATTGTGCTGTTCCAGCTGCAAAAGAATTTGCTGATTGCTGTATTCAGAACTGCCTGTTGGCAAAATTATATCCCTGGAATAGGAAAGCTGAGAGGAGCAAATCGCTTGCTTCTCTTGATCTGGCTCGTGGTACTGAGCATGGAAAGCAATAGACTGGTTTTGTAAATTCTTATCCGAGTGAGGCGTTGATGGAATTTGAGGACATTGGCTGACGTTTCTTTCAAAGGGAGAGAGACTGATCCAGTTTTTCGTACGCTCCTTCCCCTGTGTGCCGTTAACCGACTCCCTGTGAGGCATTTGGGTTAGGTAGGAACACGTCTGAAATACAAGTTGTGGGTATTTTGTAGAAACATGACTGCAAATCTAAAGAGAGTTCCGTGCGGGAGAGGAGGCAGCTGCATCTGTTAAGTGGTATTCAGGGGCAGTACCTACAGATGGGTGGCGTCTTGCTGACTCTCTATTCTCTGGAATAGAGACAAGATCAAATGGATTTTGGGTGTTGCTGTGCACAGCTAGGGTCTTACAATGTTTTTTTTCCCCCCATGGCTTGGGAAGGAATCACAAACTTCTTAGCAGGGTGAACACAGGCCACTTGCATCCTGTTCCTTTTGTGAATCAGGTAGCTTGGCTCCTAAGTGGAATATCTTTGGGCTTGACTACACTGCCCCACAGTTTGGACTAAAGGGATGTGAACAGCCGTGCACACCAAAGTGCTGTGCTGTAACTGCCCCGTGTGGGCGCTTCGGGTGCAAACGTAAAGATCCCGAGTTCACACTAATTTAGTTCCTCTTGGACTTGGGACCTTTAAATTCATGCCTGCAGCGTCCACAGCACTTTGGTACTCGCTGCTATTCATACCACCGTAGTTCAAGCTGCAGGTTAATGTAGACATGCCCTGTGTTCTTGGGTGTGACAATCCTGAAAGTAAAAGTGGTAGGGGAAGCAGCATCTGCATTCTTCGGAAAGATAAACTCAGATAAGCCAGCTATCAGTATTAGTGGAATTAGCAAATTCCACTTAGAGTAGGCAAAATATAAATGACCAAAGTGTCCTGTTTGGTTCAAACTGGGCCTGGTACACTTCACTTCCTCTCTCCAGATGCACTGTATTGTATAGCATTGTCGGGTGTAGTTATTTGTGGGGGCTCGTTTTAGTGACAAGTGAGTCCTTCGTATAATTTTAAGCCCTTTGAGTTTCTTCTGCCTCAAAGGGGCAATCGAACCATCAATAGTCATTAAACATAAACGCTTCACTAAAGATGGGACTAAATGAGAAAAGCAGGTGTAGAAGACCCTTCCTCCGAGAAGGAATTCCGACTCTGAACATGCAGTCTGTTTGAGCTTTCTAAAAGGTCCGGTCTTAAATCTGGAGCGATAGAGGTAGATGGAACGAGCTTTTCTAATGAGCATGCAGAGTGGGAGGTATTTTAGTGTTTGTGTTGCAGAATGACCCCCTTATGTCTCCTTGAAGCCTCCATTGGTAGAGCTACACTGCAATTGTAAACCCATGGCGGGCCCATGCCAACTGGCTGGGGCTGTGAGGTTTCTAAATTGTGGTGTAGACATCTGGGTTCTGGCTGGGGCCCAGGCTCTAGGACCCTGCAAGGTGGGAGGGTCCCAGAGCTCAGGGCTGCAGCCAGAGACCCAACTCAACACTGCAGTTAAACAGCCTCTGGGCCCTAGCCCCACATGCCTGAGTCAGCTAGGTTGTCTAATTGCAATGTCGACATACCCTGTGTGGTGAAAAATCCCAGCTCTGGTTAGTAATTGCTTTCCTCTTCGTTCTTCCTGACATTAGAATTGGCAGTAACTGTAACTCCACATTGTTTCTCTTTCATTCTGACAGTTTGTCCTCTAGAAGCCATTTGAAAATCAACACGTACGCATGCTGCCTTGCCAGGAAATCCAGTGGTTTTGCTTTCACTTCACCTGTGACTACATTAAGATCTGTCTTCTTTCTAATGCTCTGTCTGCGCTGGGGGTTAACCAGTGTTATCTGAACCACTTTTAAACCATGCTCCAAACAGTTTCAGACTTAAGTTTGTCTGGCCAGTGTCATGAAGGCCCAAGTTCCCTCTAAGCTGTGCGGCCTCGTGGCTGCGCAGCAGGCTATCAAGAGCTGCTGCGGCAAGAGAGGGCTGGGGGGAGTCTCCTCCCCCCCCCTTTGGGGCAGCCTGCACCCCAAACCCCTCATCCCCAGCCCCACCCCAGAGCCCACACCCCCAGTCTAAGCCCTCACCCCCTGCACTCCAACCCTCTGCCCCAGCCCTGAGCCCCCTCCCACATCCTGAACCCCTCATCCCTGGCCCCACCCCAGAGCCCTAGCCGAATCCCTCACCCCCCTGCACCCCAACCCTTTGCCCCAGCCCTGAGCCCCCTCCCACACTCCAAACCCCTCGGCCCCACCCCCGCCACACATCACTTCCATATTGGTGCACATAACAAAATTAATTCCGCACATGGATGTAAAAAATAGAGGGAACATTGACTGAAGGCATACGTTAATGATTTAAAAACTGTTATAAAGAGTGCTTGACGGTCTGTGGTCTATAATCTAATCTCTGCATAACCGAATGCTTATAAAACATGATTTGATAACAGTTGTGCCCTGTTCCCACTGACTAGGGAAACTGTTATGCCTGAAATGGTTTTATGCAGCATTTAAAACTGGTTCATGTAATACAGTGTGGATAGAGAGGGATGTAGCCATGTGTCTGTATCCCATGAGTCTGTTAAGTAGAGATTCTTTTTACAAAAGGGTGAGAAACAAGCATGGAATTCTGGGATTTGTAGCCTTCCTTCATAAAAGGCACACAATAAGTCCAGACAGAATTCCTGAAATCTTCTCAGTTGCCATCAGAAACTAAAGAATGCTCCGGAAAGTGTGAGGTAGAAAGGCTGCCTATTACATTTGTAGTTAATCCTGCTCTACCTGGGGAAGGATAGTAAGAGTGAGGTTATGAAGTTTGGAATTTTCTCTGGAATTGTTAACTTCATGTATTGTTACATGTTGGTCCTCATTGTGAAAGTTGGTGTGGCCTTGCATGAATTAAGACCAATTTCTAGTTAGTCCCCTTAAATGTGAATAATTTGAGCCCGGTGTTACATGGGGCTGCAGTGCTATATGTCCTACCATATCTAATCCATGAAGATGGCTTCCTCCTTCTCCAGGACTTAGAGCCCCTGCTTGTCGCCAGAGTGGCTCAAAACAGTGAATTCTTTGGTACTTAAAGCATGGTGGACTTTGGGGAGTGGCGCAATGCCTGACTTCACCTCTTAGTTTATAGAATCTTATTCTGAGCGCACAGTCAGGTTTTCCGTGCCTTATGCCTGTTGGCTAGCTGTAACATCCATCCTTGAGAATGGAACGCAGGGTTTTTCTCCATTTCTCCCTATGGAAGATACTATCTGTAACTATTTTCTAGCACCTGCGTTTCTCATGTAGTTTTTCTCTTCTATAGGATTATATTTGCCCAAGGTGTGAATCTGGTTTTATTGAAGAACTTCCAGAGGAGCCCAGGTAATGTGTTGTTCCTGAAGGATACCGTGAACGTTAACTTGGAATCTTCTCTGTTCTGTTTCCTTTTCCTGGGGTGGGAGGTGTTACAAACTAAGGGGACCGGTTGGACAACCTCTAACGATATTTGGTTTTTCTCAGTGAAAACCTACTTGATTTTTCCAAAGTTGTAACATACTTAAATCACACACAGTCTGTGTCCACAACCATGTTTCCCAACCATGATGGATGGAAGCCTGACATCCTGACTAGTGACCTGTGGACATTCAGAGAACTTTCTGCAGTTTTGACTGGACTTTCTCTGCCCTGGGCTGCTTGCTCCAAACCGCTCTCTTTCCCACAATCTCTTCATCTTAGCTTCACTCCATACCTTCTCTTCTCCCATGCCTTGACCCCTCATCCCCCTGCCCTTTTCTTTCCTTTTAACTGATCCCCTGCTAATTAACCCCCCCCCCAAAAAAAAACCCCACCATGCAACTTAAATCCCATTTGCTGCCATCACATTGTTTACTCTGCTTGTATGTTCTACCTCTTCCTCCACCCTGCGTCTGTCTTGTCTAGTTGGTTTGTAAGCTCTTCGGGGGCAGGACAGTCTATTGTTCTGTGTTGCAGGATGCCCAGCATAATCATGCCCTGATCTTGGTTGGTCCTTAGGCACAACCAAAATATACATATTAATTTAAATGAAATAAACTGTTAGAAATCAGCTACTTATTTTCTGCTATGTAGACAATAGCACCTAGCTGTGGGTTAATTGGGGGTAGCTCCCCCGGAAATCTGAGAGAGCGTATGATGTCCCAGAGGCCACTGAGAAGAAACACCCACTATTCCAGGGGTTCTCAAACTGGGGGTCGGGACCCCTCAGGGGGTTGTGAGGTTATTACATGGGGGGTCGCGAGCTGTCAGCCTCCACCCCAAACCCTGCTTTGCCTCCAGCATTTATGTAGTGTTAAATATATTAAAAGTGTTTTTCATTTATAAGGGGGGTTGCACTCAGAGGCTTGCTATGTGAAAGGGGTCACCAGTACAAAAGTTAGAGAACCACTGCACTGTCCCATACACACAGCAGGAAGCAGTGATACACACACAGTTATACAGAATGTGATCAGGATGTGGTTTTTGCCTTGTAAAAAATGCTTTGATGTGTGGACACGCTGACCTGTTTTGGCTGTAATGGTGCGTTTGCCAGTGCAGGTTACACGTAATGTGATTCTTGGTCTTGACTTGCAGAGAGCGTGGCCTTGAGATTTAAACAATGCAAGGTGACAAGATGTTCAAGAGGTCCACTTGTTTGTTCTTAAACGTATAAGCAAGTCTCTGCCTACGTCAACTGTATCAAGTGTGCATTAGTTATTCCTTTGGATTGCAGTAGGTTTTCTAAACCCATGCAGAGGCATAGCTCCATGCTGAAAGGCAGCATTGTCTGGTGGATGGAGCTGGAAATCGTGCCTAGCTAATCCTAGCTCTGAGAGTGACTTGCTGTGACCTTGGCAGAGTCAATCAGGCGCTCTGAACCTCAGTTTACTCTGCTGTAAAACCAAGATAACATTTAGCACACGCATGAGCCATGAGGAGTAACGTTCATGCAGCTCTTTGAAAGCATAGCGCTATGTATTGTTAATAGTTCTCTTGTAATCATTTGCTAACTGTCATTCTCTGACTGGTCATGTGATTTTGCAGTGCAGAAAAGAGGACTGGTTCCAATGAGTGGGTTTGCAACAACAGCATTAAGCGTGTTTGCATCATTGTGATGTTGGCATCCTAAATCTTACCCTCATGGTGCTCTGGAGAACGTAGCTGAGTTGCCTAGGGGTGGAGTGGGTAGAGGAATGCTTGGCTGATGTAACAGGTGGGTCTTCTCTAGCAAAGTTACTGTTCTGCAGTTTCATGAGATGTGCACAAGGCAATCAACAAGAGGGGGAAAGATCTGAATATTCAGGGAAGTAAGGAACAGCATTAAACAAAAATTACATGAGCGATTGCGGTGGAAAACAGCAGCTGATGAGAAAATAATGTGTTGCCTGTGAAATGGTTTTGCACAACTCGTAAACGGGTGGGACGTTTGCCCCTACCGAGATCCCATCCCTTGCTTCCCTCTGCTGCAAAAGGCTTTCCATCGACCCCGCGCCGTCGCGAGTCAGCATTTCTGAGTCTAACCGATGCTGTTCGCTCTTCTCAGGAATGCTGAGAATGGTTCCAGCTCTTCCGCATCGACCAGCGATCAGAGCAGGCATCCATTCGAGGTGAGTAATAGCAGCTCCCCAGCCCCTGCTAGATTATTTTTTTCTTGCCGTTGAATCTGAATGTTTTCCACAGACAGATCATTTTATTATGTCCCCTGGATTTTGTCAAAGTTTGGGAGTAAATATCATCCAAGCGCCGCTTCTAGAACTCTCTAAATATGGCATTCTTCTCGGTGGACAGCTGCGTCTCCCCATATCCCGCTTTCGTTAGGGGGAGCCAGGCTGTGGTATATTGAACTGTTTATCTGGGTATGCCGTGGTCACCGTTTAAGGCAGGGGTGGGCAAACTTTTTGGCCTGAGGGCCACATTGGGGTTGCAAAACTGTATGGAGGGCCGGGTAGGGAAGGCTGTGCCTCCCCAAACAGCCTGGCTCCCGCCCCCTATCTGACACCTCCCAATTTCCGCCCCCTGACGGCCCCCCGCAGAACTCCCGACCCATCCAACCCCCCCTGCCCCTTGTCCCCTGATCGCCCCCGGGACCCCACCCCCATCCAACCCTCCTGATCCCAGTCCCCTGACTGCTCTGACCTCTATCCACACCCCCGTCCCCTGACAGGCCCCCCGGGACTCCCACGCTTATCCATTGTCCCCCGTCCGCCCCCCAGAACCTCCGCCCCATCCGTCCATCTGCTGCTCCCTGTCCCCTGACTGCCCCCCAGAACCTCCCGCCCCTTATCCAACCCCCCGACCCCCTTACCATGCTGCTCAGAACAGCATGTCTGGCAGCCGCGCCGCCCGGCTGGAGCTAGACACACTGCCGCTCTGCTCGGCAGGAGCACGCAACCCTGCCACCCAGAGTGCTGCCCGCGCGGCAGCATAGCTGCTGGGGAGGGGGGACAGCGGGAGAGGTGGCCGGGGGCTAGCCTCCCAGGCTGGGAGCTCAAGGGCCGGACAGGACGGTCCCGCGGGCCGTAGTTTGCCCACCTCTGGTTTAAAGAATCACCAGTTAGCCTCAGTGCCACACAGTGGTATCAGAAAAATAATGGTTATTTCCTAAATTTAATCTCGGCCGATGCTGTCTGCTCATTACAGAGCTGCTTCTCAGCACAGAGCCCTCAGCTGTGATGCTGGAGGCTGTCTGGGGAGTCTGGCTTTGTCTCATCACCGAGGCCTTTGTTGGGACCTGAATATTGTTAGTAGAAGTAAAGGCTCGCTCCTTGTGACCAATCTGCCTTGAATTCCCTTCACTACAGAACGTGGATCAGCACTTATTCACCTTGCCACAGGGCTATGGCCAGTTTGCCTTTGGGATTTTTGATGACAGCTTTGAGTTTCCTGCCTTTGGGTCCAGTGGCCAATCTGAAGACAACAGGGACGCCGAGAACCGGCGGGACAGAGAGCACCAGTCTCGGCACAGATATGGCGCAAGGCAGCCCCGAGCCCGCCTCACTGCACGGCGTGCCACTGGCAGGCACGAGGGAGTCCCAACGCTAGAAGGGTGAGAAGTGCTTTCGCTTTCTAGGGCTCTGCTCAGTGACCAGGGCTTGATTTTCTTTTTAAAGGGGTTTAGCTGAGAACCATAACATTTGTTTGTGTTCTCCATTCACGAGGACTAGTCCCTCACTAAAAACTTCCTGCGTCGCGTTCTTCTCCTTCACAGATGTCTTACTTTCCATGCAAACAGCTGCTTTTGGAAGATAACATTTCAGCCGGACTAGAACCCTTATCAAGCCTGTATCTTGAGTGAAATTGGCCATGGTTTACCTGTACTCTACAATAGGTCATACCCCAAAGTAGGGAATATACCTGGGAGCTTTTAAAACTAAAAGATGCCCTAGACTGAGTAAGCATCTGTCTGCCCTGATTCTTTTCCTTGAGCTTGGTCACTTGTGGGCAAAGCAGCATGAAACCCAGCTGATGTGTCCGATCACTGGTGAATTTCTCCGCTCCTTGCAATCAGCAGTCGGAAATGCTGCTGCCACCTAGGCCTATGCTAAAGAGTAGGATCCCAGAGACACTGTCCACTTCCCACCTTTGTGTAGGAAAATGTTCCTCTCTGAATAAAATCCTTTGACTTCTTTCTGTGGCAAGAAATAAGTGGTCACTAGGGCCTGGTCTACACTGCGGGGGGTGGAATCGATCTAAGATACGCAACTTCAGCTACGAGAATAGCGTCGCTGAAGTCGATGTATCTTAGATTGACTTAGAATCACTTACTTGGCGTCCTCGCGGCGCGGGATCGACGGCCGTCACTCCGCTTCTGCCTCTCGCCGTGGTGGAGTTCCGGAGTTGGTGGCAGAGCGATCGGGGATCGATTTATCACGTCTACGCTAGACGCGATAAATTGATCCCTGATAGCTTGATCACTACCCGCCGATACGGCGGGTAGTGTAGACGTACCCTTGGATGCAGTTGCATCTTAAGCCGGATACCGTGTCTTACCTTTCGTTCCCCCTGATGGTACCACAGTATTTCCTAGCTACTCTGGACTTCCGGGCTGTTTGTGGGATTTAGTGTATCCTAGTTCTTATTTGATCTTGATTTTGCTGTCTTTCAGAATTATACAGCAGCTGGTCAATGGCATTATTGCACCTACAACAATACCAAACCTAGGACTAGGCCCTTGGTGAGTTGGAGTTACGGGTTACTCTACCTAAAGGTCTGGTTGTGTGTAGTCCCAGTGGAGACTAACACCCTGTTGTCTTTATTCTTAAAGGGGAGTCTTGCATTCGAATCCAATGGACTATGCCTGGGGTGCCAATGGCTTGGATGCAATTATTACACAGGTAAAACTGGCACCTGTTCTATGCGTATGCCACTGGGGGCTGCTCGTGTGCAGTGATTGGTCCTGGAGTGGAGGCCTTTCTCTAAGAAGCTACCCTTCTCCCTTCCATAGAGGGGTAGCACTGACATCTGTCTTGGTTAGTGGGGACTTACAGTCCAGTACGCCTCCAAACCCTACTGTTGAGTCAATGTGTATAAAAGTGTCTACACAAGGAGCTTAGGTTTGCACTCCATTGCCAGGGAAAATGTCTTTTGTTTCATGTTGCATGATTCGTGTGTCTTGAAATGCACCGGTAGGGAGCGCTCTGTTTACTTCCCCTGCAGTGGCTTATCCTGGAATGAGGCTTTTCAGTAACTGTTTCCTAAAGGAAGCAATGTATTTGAAAACCCAAGATCTGCACCTAGGGGGAACAATGTGACCAGAAACATGTTTCATTCGGGGCGTGGTTGTGATTCCAAAAGACAAGCATGTTCTCCTGTCTGCCACAAGATGACAACCTGTTTTATGGCCATTGGCGATTTAGGAAGGTAGAAGAGAGGGCCGCACTTGATTCTGCTCCTGATATTCCTCATGCTGTCCGATAACAAAGGCACCCATTAAATTTGTGGCAGGAACAATGTTTTAAATTTAAAAACATTAAGAGGAAATCATTCCTGTAGCATGTGTTCGGCAAGTGGAACTCACTGCTGGAGAGTTCTAAGACGAATTGTCATGACTGGGGCATGGGCGGTCAGACCTAGTGGTTGGAGCAGGAGTCGGGAATTCGGAAGCAGTCCAAAGCAGGGAGATCCCAGTTGCATGCACAACTTCCTGTTCCTGCGCTGGGTTTATATAGAAGTTGTGAACCAATCAGGACCTCCAGCATTCTGCCAATCAGATTCCAGGACTGGAGTCCTCGGCCAGGGGCTTCGATTCTGGCAACTGCTAGCAGGTCCCTGGGTGGCAGGTTGGAAGAGCCCTGTGGACCAGGGTTCAAGACTCGTGGTCCCCGCCGTCTATGCGCATGTTAAATCTCATGCTGAGGGTTGTCAGCTGGTCCATTTAGAGATCAGGATGGAATTTTTCTCCTCGGCGCAGCTCTGCAAAGTTGCCCAGCTCCGTGGTGGGGAATTAATATTTGAAGCATCAGGAGTTTAGCCAGCAGTAGAAGCAGGTGACAGGACACTGGGTTAGATGTCTCAATACCTTAACCTAACAAATCCTGCGTACCATCCAGCCGGTGTCGTTTTCCTGTACTGCATGGCGTTTTGTCTTTCAGTTATTAAATCAATTTGAAAACACTGGGCCGCCTCCAGCAGACAAAGAGAAGATCCAAGCGCTCCCCACCGTTCAGATAACAGAGGAACACGTAGGTACGTCCCCTGCCTCCTCAGCGAGTCGTCCAATGAAGAGCTTTGCAAAGCTTTCATGTGGTTTTTCCCTTGGGATTTTCATGTTGGCTCCTAATCTGTCGTAGGACTAAAGAATTCCAGAGGCAGAACTAGGCACAGCATCTCTCATACGCCTGCCTGAACGGAAGCACTGTAAAGCGGATACATTTGCACTAGGGAGTTAACTGCCCCAGTTTTAGAAGCTAATGTAGCTAGACGCGTATAAACGTTGGAGCCAGCAGAGAAGTTGGGGGACTGTCTTGGAAATGAGAGGTCTTTACTATCTCCTGGGCATTGTCGCTTTTTAGGGGAATCTCACACCGCTGTAGTGCCACTGGTAGGAGTGGTGGTGTAGAACAGCCGGCAGCATGCTTACCACTGCGTCGAGATCGGCTCAAGCTTCATTTTAAAGCCCAGACCAAACCTGTTGAGGAGTTTTCATACCTGACCCAATGCTTGTAGTTGGGTGGGGCCCATGGGTTTTGTTTCAGGTAGCACGGCTCTCGCACACGCTGTGCCGGACTCTGGGCCAGGAGCCCTATGCGGTCTGGTCTCCACCCCCGCACTCCACTCACCCCCCAGGAGGTTCTGTCCATGCCACTGCTGGGTGCACGTGGTACATGACACGTCTCACTCTGCTGGGGCTCCTTCCTACAGGACCGGGGAGCCCAGTCTGAGGCATGCCCCTGCAGGGAGCTCGGCTGCCTGGCAGCAGCTTCAGACAGCCCGAGCGCCTTTGGCCACGGAGTTTCCTGGCAGGCAGGCAGACGGGGGAGGAATCCAGCCCACCTGCCTGGCTAAGCCAGCATCGTCCCCCTGCTGTGCTGTGATATGTGTATCCCACCCCTATCTGCACAGCAGCACAACGTGGGCTCCCGGTGCACTCCGAGCCCCCTCGTGCTGCCCGGCTTCCTGTTAGGGAGAAGTGCCCCTTCCATGGCAGAGCCGGGCCGCTGTCCGCCGACTCCTTCAGCCCGCTGCTGCCACCTCCACTGAGCTCTGGGGACAGGGAACCGGATCCGTCCCTTGCTTCCTCCGAGGCCAAACCAGAGTGTGCGAGCGTCGAGTTCTTTTCATGCCTCATCTGACACCTGTAGTCAGGTTCCGGTCAGTCTGCAAGCCTCTGCCACTTTCTCTGCTAGATGAGACAGCCGTAAAAATGCACCCGGTGGGGCTGCAGCTGTGAAATTCTCCTGAAACGGTCAGCGCTGGTGCAGCCCCTGCGCGTAAACATCTCTTGGGAGCAGTGTTTGCTGGCTGTCCTAGCAGTGCATAGTAAAATGCTGGGCAGACTGGCTTACAGGAATAGATATTTGACTCTGTTAGGTTTAATACAGAATTAGGCTTGGCAGATCTTGATTTTTAGTTTTTATACTATCCGTGTTTATTTTTAAGCTTTTTCTTTATTTCTGTCTTCACAATGGGGGAATGATGGGAGGGATTGGACAATACTTATTTCATGACAGTATTCGTTGAGAGTCACAAAGTTAGTTTTGTAATTGTTAAAATACAAATTGTCGACCACATATGTCAAAATGTGCCAGGTACGTTTCCTTCACTCAAATTCTAATAGGTTCTCAGATGGCCTTTTTCTTTCTTTACCGGTGTGTACATTTTGATGATTGTTGATGGAAATATTTTTTCGTGGGTTTGTGTGTACGATGACATTGGCATTTAAAAATAAAAAAAATCGAATCTTTCCAAGCCTACACCTGAAACACTGGCAGCAGCGTGTTGCGGAAGGGAGTAAGAGAGACAATATAGGTCAGGAATTTGGGAGTAAGGTGGAGAGATACAGGCAGCTATCCCAAGTGGCAGACGCTCTGGAGGCAGTAGCTTTCTCCCCAGTGCTGGGGAGACTGAGAAAGGCCAGTTACCAGATGACCTAAGTCAAGAATAAAGAGAGTCGGGTTAGCTGGAGCACGTCCATGGCAGTTTTCAAAGCTGGGCAGCTCTGAACGGATTCCTGAAATGGCAGGGAAAGCCAGCGCTCATTCTGCTCCCAAGCGGGGAAAGAATAATACCGTCAGCCCTCTTGATTCATAGCTTTGTGTTTTTGTGACTCGCAGGTTCCGGGCTCGAGTGTCCGGTATGTAAAGAGGATTACACACTTGGTGAAAATGTCCGGCAATTACCCTGCAATCATCTATTCCACAATGGCTGTATAGTCCCTTGGCTGGAACAGGTGAGTTACACCAGCGTGCGGGATCCCTTTGATGCCAGGGGAATATTATAGACTCTGGACATGTTCCATTATACTGTTCTCATTGGCAAATATTTCTATATCCTGATGATGCCTGAGCGTGAGCAGCCGTTTGCCTCTGAAGAAGGAGGCTGTCAGCAGCGTGACCAGCTGTTACTCGCACTGTTCCCATGTCCTATGTCTAATCCTTTCTCTCTGCTTATTTTTTTTTTTTTAATCTCCAAAGCACGACACATGCCCCGTGTGCCGGAAAAGTTTAAGTGGACAAAACACTGCCACGAATCCCCCAGGACTCACGGGGATGAATTTCTCCTCCTCCTCGTCTTCCTCTTCCTCCAGCTCACCAAGTAATGAAAACTCGTCAAACAACTCATGAATCCTAGCCCAGCCCCTGTCCCGCGTTCCCTGTCCATAGCCCTTCCTCCCTAGCCAACATAAGCAACTAAGGGCCTTCCGGAGCGGAGCAAGGGGGGGAACTGAAACCCAGAAATTCCCTCACGAGGCCCCTGGTTCTTCAGAGACGAGACACCTCAGGCTCTCCAGTGGGGGGAAGTTCTCTGAATTCATCGCGTCGCCGCGTGGACTCTTAAAACTGCCGTGAAAGGCCGTTAAGCTTCACAGATTGGAAACCCAAGGTGCTGAGCGATTGGCTGCGACTCCAAGTGGGGGAAGGTGGTTTGTATGGTTTTGAGATTCCGCTCTTTATATTCTGCCCCCCGCTCCTCCATCCCTTATGCTTTGACGTTTTAAAACCTTTAAAATGACAGTGTAACAAAATCTGGTTTGCTCCGAGGATTTCCAAGTGGGGAGGGCGAGTGAGGGTGGGGGAGTTGCCACAGAAAATGTGAACTCTTGGAATAGACAGCTATCCCTCCCTCCCCTGCCACAGTCCCTTTTTGTTTTCTTTATAACTTCACCCTTCTCATAGTCAACACCGAAAGGGTTTTTATAATTTTAAATTATTACTGCTGTTAAATAAATGGACATTTCAGCTCAACAAAAAGGTATGCATGATTTGTGGATAAATACAGGGTAAGCTCGTCTGAGTACTGTACTATACCTTCCCAGCGGCAGGGCAGCCTGCCCTGAGATCATTGTGCCCTCGTTCCCTCCCCAGCGTGCCATAGGCTGGTACACGGTGACTTCTTTAGCACTAGGTTCCTACTGACCAACGCCCGTGTACATTGCCAGCCTGCAAATCGTCAAGCGCTGTCGGCTGCGGGATAGAAACTGCAGCATCCTTGTTCGGTTTTTGTATTTCTACCCCTCCTGCCAATCCCTGCAGTCCTGCCCTTCTCTCACCCTGGATGCGGAGTGTTGGCTGCAGGACTGGAATTGTACCAGAGTGAGGACCAGCCAAACACCATCGGGATCAGATCAAATACAGAGCAAGGGACGCTTGAGAAAAATGTATTTCACAGCTACTTCAAAATACAGCTGCTTTAAAAATTCCCAGGAGCTTGTGAATCGGTTTCCTTGCAAGAGTTGGTTTGCTGGGGGGAGGGGGGTGGGGGGAACTTTTGTCCTGCTGATCGGGGGGGCTTTTTTGGTATGAGGTTTTTTAATCGGATCCATTCTGGAGGGAGGAAGTCAGCGCGCGTATGCTCAAAGTTACGTTTTCATGGGTTGGGGGCAGGACATATTCCATTTACTGTTCTGATCACTTTAAAACTTCAGCTTCAGTGGCGGATGGTGTGATTCTGAAGGCATCCGTAGTAGGAACCGGTGGAGATGGGGGTTTTCCAGGCCTGCCTGCGGGATAGAGGTACCTGCCCCAGGTAAAGGAGAGGCTGTGACACAAGCTGTAGGTGGAGGATTAAGTGAAGCAACTGATCCCATGGAAGACCCCAAAGAAGCACTATGGGTGTGCGGCTCCAACTGAGCTCAGAGGCTGCCCAGTCAGCAGGGAGAGCCAGGTGGGAAATCTAGCTGTCGGACCACAGAAGATGCTGAATGATGTGTCTTCAGGGTGAGAGGTAGAAGCTTATTTCTGGAGTCAAGTGGTGGATTCTCAAAAAATCTGCTCTTGAGAGCTGGCCACACTGACATGGTCTTGCCTTAGAAGGAATCCTGGAGTCTTAGCCAAGATCAATGGGTGTGTGATATGCAATGTGTGTTGAAGGCCTTCACAGAAGCGTACGGGGAAAGGAAGATGGGTAAGGAGTCCGCTGCAGCGAGAGCCTTTTCCTCCAGGGTGGGACCGTGTGGCAAGGCACATGAGCATTCTCTCATCTCCAAGGCCAGGTTGGCAGGTTTTACCAATGTAGCTATGTCAGGAGTGTGGAAAAAATCACCCCCCCTAACTCGTGGCTTTGCCAGCAAAACCCTTTATGTAGACACATCTTATACCGCAAAAGGGACTCTTTCTGGTGTAGCTAATGTCATTCGGGGAGATGGTTTAACAGAAGAACTCCTTTTGCTGGTATAAGCTGCATCTCCCCTAGGGGACTTCGCCCAAAGCCTTTGTAGTGTGGCAGGAGCGCTGCCAGCTTTTTTGCTGCCCTAGGCGGCGGAAGGTCCCGCCCCCGAAATACCGCCGATGACCGGGGCGGCCGAAGATCTGGCCGCCGCCCCCCAAATGTTAGCGCCCTAGGCGACTGCCTAGGTCACCTAATGGGTTGCGCCGGCCCGTAGTGTGGACTAGCCCCAAGTCATGTGAGGTTTTTAACAGGACGAAGCTGTTATACCCTGCAAACTCACCGTTGCAGTTTTGTGTGTTGCCAGCAGGTGGAGCAACAGGCCCAGAGGTTTCAAACAATCTGGTTGTGGCATCTGAAGAAGTGGTTTTTTTACCCACGAAAGCTTATGCCCAAATACATCTGTTAGTCTTTAAGGTGCCACCAGACTCCTCATTGTTTTTGTGGATACAGACTAAGACGGCTGCCCCCCGATACTTGATGCCTTTATGTTGTAACTAAACTTTTATTCTGCCCTTGCTGCTGTGCTCAGGGAAATATGCTCCTGGTTAAGACCGGTTGGCTTTCTTCCTCTTCCAGCCACCTTTCTCCATCTCTCCTCCAGTCTGTCACCTCTTTTCCCTCCCTTTCAGTAACTTCCAGTCCCCCACCGGTGGAGCCAGCTCCCATTCCTTTTCCCCTCCTCCCATCTGCGAAAACCAGAAATAGTTCACCCTGCCATCTAAAGTGTCGTTGGTCATGTGCGTTATCGCCCCAGTCAGGTTAACGGTAAGCGAGGAAGTACGTACCTCTCTCATTGTTTCAGGCTTGCTGCAGACTCAGGCAGACACCACTGCCTCAGTTCCACTTGGTGCACGTTTGGAAGGTTATCTTCATAACTGGGGGGCTAGAAACCTTTTTATAAAATGAAAGTTTAGACTCCAGGTGGGCCACATAAACGTACCATGCTGGCTCGGGGCTATATGTTTGACACTATTGCTATAGGATGTGTAGTGACAAAGGCCAAAGTCATCGAGTCACCCCATTGTGATTAGGGTGATCCATATGAAAGTGACTGCCTTCCATATTTCCCCGCCATAGTGTATTTCCATTGGGGCAAACACAGATAGAACCAAAACCTAACTATCTGGGTTCTGAGTCTTTGGATCTCCTGGAAAAATCAGCCTATGGACCCTTCCTTGACTTCTCCAGCTTAGCTCCACTACCCAGACTGTTTGGGTTTGTTCTGCTTCATACTAAATCTGGAGTTTCCCTGTGTCCCACCGGTTTCCCGTTGCTTAATGTTGCCGGGCTACGATGCTGGTGACTCCTCTAAATTGACCTGTTGTCCTAAGGCGCCATTGCTGGTTGGCTTTTAGGACAGTCTCTGTTTTTAGGATTCAAGGGCAGAAACTCGGCTGTGCTCTGAAAGGGTGAGAATGCAATCAGGAAGCCGGTGCGCTGTGGAAAGGGGGAGGAGCTGGTAGACTCTGGCTGCTGGCCCCTTGTTGACAGTCCAGTTTGTGAAGTGGGGCCATGGGAGAGGCTGGTAGGATGACTTGAGCAATCCTGCCGCTGTACTTTCTGTTCCAGCGACACTTCATAAAACAAACTGGCTGTTACACGCCAGCTGGGTCACTTGGATTGCCACACGCTTCAAACCCTCTCGGCTTGCTTCTCAGTTGCCTTGTGCTGTTGAAAATCTTTTGACCTGTTTCATGTTAACTTGACAACTCTGGGTGGGAAGGAAGGTATGGTACTCCGGGTATCTCCTTTAGACGGTCGCTCCGACACCTCAACGACTTTCAACTGCATCTTTCTTGAGATACTCGCAGAGGTGCCTTCTGCACCATATGTTGCCTTTTATAGATTTGTTAAAGATGCATTAGGGCAAGATGGTTCTAGCCCTGCTTTGTGGAGGACGCGCAACTTCAAGTTTGTTACTGACATAAAGGAGGGACCGGTGCCATGAAAACCCAGGGGGTGTCTAAACATGCAGTGGTGATGGTTGTGGTAGCACCCAAAGCCTCAAATCAGGAGTGGGGACCCCACATCCTCCCAGAGAGTTAGATCATGACATCATAACCCCTTCCCGTTAAGGACGAGGTTTTCCAAAGAGTTCTGCTCCCATCTAGGCAAGTGGTCAGATGTTCTCAATGGGATGCTGCTCGGTGCTGAGTCCTTAAGAAAATCAGTCCAGAAGGGTATTCGTTCCCTCCAGTTCTTTATGCTCTGTCACGTGCAGGGCATTGATTGATCCTAGTTCAGCTATGCTGTTGAGGCTACTGGGAGTCTAAGGAAACCCTTAAGCACAGGGCTGTGTCTTAAGATCATCCAAGGGAGGATGGATGTTTGTCTAGAGCCTCTTCTTAAACTGTTTCGGAAGAAAAACTAGATCATTTTGCTAGAGGACGGAGCTGCTAAAACGTTTGGAGAAAAAGCCCAACTGTGCGTGCAGCGCGTGGCCATCGAAAGCATGCCTGGGATTCACACCAGGGTCTAATCCAGGGAAGCTACCCCTGAGCAGCGGTGCTGGAATGTTTCTCCCATCGCGCTTGCCAAGTGGACATGTGTCGTTGGGAAGTTCCTTTGAGCTTTCAAAAGGCTGGAATCTTCGGGACGGGGCGTCAGGGTCGGTGGCTTGTTTGGAACGTCCTGAGCTGGCTGGTGAGGCAGGAATTTTGTCACCCGCGCTGCCTTGCTTGAGGGCCAGCTCTCTCATAGCCCATGGACCTTGCTTCTGAGGATGAGTGGGTTTAGACCCAGGATGGACAGAAGGAAGCATTTACCTCGTCATTAAAACACAGGCCTGGGAGACAGGGAGGTAGGTTCTGTACCCAACTCTGCCATCGACTGAGACCTTGGACACCTTTGCTGTGTCTTCCCACTTGTAAAACAGGGATGTTCCCGACTCCACACAGGTATAGGGGGGCTTCATTCATTCATGTTTGTAAAACACACAGTCTCACAAACTGCCAGAAAGCTCCCAAGAGTTTCCTCTCCAGGCCCTTGTGGCTAACGGTGGTGGTGTGAGACCTGATTCTCTTTAGCAAGAGGCACCACGGGGTTAATGCGGGAGCTTTTCCCCTGAACACAGACCAATTCTAAAGCTGGTTTGGTGACAAAGCAAACAAGTCATGGTTTCTGCACAATTTTGATTCTCCAGAACCTGGCTCAGCACGGGTGTTGCAGAACTGGGCACGGCCGGAAGTGTGGGACGCTTCCGGGCTTGTGCTATGTCTGGTTCCAGCCAGCGGCGAGATCGCTACATTCACCCGGTTGTTTTCTTCAAAGGAAACGAGTCAGCGCTGTAGCCTGTGCCCCTTTAAGGACCGAGTTGCCTTCAGACACACTGAGCATGACTCAGTGGCGAAAGTACTAGCCTTAGACTCTGGATACCTGGGTTCGATTCCCTGCTGTGCCACACACCTTGGGCTCAGATCCTTAAAGGTTTGGGATCTGGGCCTTGATCTCTCTGCCTCTGTAAGCTGGGGGTAAAAGCACTGTCCTACCTCAGAGGGGTGTTGGGAGGAGGTCAGATTACCCGAGTGCTCAGTAATGGGGCTATGGAAGTCGCTCAGACCAGCACACCTGCATGCCATACACAGGGTGAGGTGCAAAATGAGGCACTTCCTGGAACTGTTTTTGGTTGGGGGCTTGAATCCCTGGGATCTAACCAACTAATAAAATCTAAAGCTTCCATCCCACTGTGCTTTGCTCTGGGTCTCATGGAGAAGGAAGCTTTTCTGGCCAGAACAGCGCTCCAACATTAATCCCTGAGATGGGGAGTGGGGGCGAATAGATCTCCTGGACTGTCTCATAGTGGGTGAGATCAGGAGCTCCATACGGGATCACAGGTGGCCTTTCCCGCACTGTAAGAGGATGCTGCTGTGTTCGGGAAGCTGTTGTCTCAGTCTGATGGGGTGGCTTGAGTCCACTAGCCTCATTTAGTTACTGAGAAACTGGGCTGCTCCTTGGAGCTTGACTTTGATTCCTTCTAAAGAGCTAGGGATTTCCCCTCTTATACCTTCCTCCTTCTCTTCCTGCTCCGGGAGGGGCTGCTTCAGGTGGAAGCGCAGTGAGTAGGAACAGGCAGCCGTTCTTACTTGATTCCACAGTGGAGCCTTTGATGTCCTGGGCAGAGCCCGACGCCCCGGTGTGAGAAGCTGGCAGCAGTAAAATGAAGATAGGCCAGTTCACCTACCAGCACAAAGGAGGAAGTGTGTCTGCTGCACCTGAGAGAGGTCAGAGGGGAGCCTGTCTAGTATACACCCAAGATCGGAATGTCTTGGTCAGGCTGGAGCAGCGGTCTGGTGTAGAGGCTACAGCTCTGACCCTGGGAGTCAGGAGATCTGGGGTCCACTCCTGGCTCTGCCATTGACCCGCTGTGTGCCCTTGGGCAAGTCACGTCCTCGCTCTGTGCCTCAGTTTCCCCTTCTACTCTTTGTCCAGTCTATTTAGATTGTGAGCTCTTCGGGGAAGGGATGTCGCTGTATGTACAGCACCTTGCACAGTGTGGTCCTGATCTCAGCTGGAGCCTGTCGATGTTCCTGTATCCCAGATGATAATCCCTTACAGGGCGGCTGCATCACAACTCCTTTCCTCAACAGGGTCACAGCTGGAGTGCAGGATCTGGGTTGCCCGTCGGTTTGCAGCCCACCTTCCAAGTCGTTCCGTAGTGCTTGGCGCCTGAGCAACTGGCACGTGTTTTCCTCGTGCTGAAGATGCGGAGACTCCCAAGTGATTGGGCGGCCTTACGAGCGGGAGCGTGCTGCACTGCGTGTGGGGGCAAGCGCCTGCTGGATGTAATAGCGGAGCTGAGCTGGCACCCACGCGCCGTTCGCAGGTACGAGGAGCGCGCACACAGCGATCGGCTTTGAACCGCCGCTTCGTAGCAGTTAGAACCCATCAGCGCCTCTCTCCACCTGGCTTCAGACCTACCTCGTTGGCTCCCCCTCTCCGGCTGGCGTGCCCTGCGCCTACCCAGAAAGCCCAACCGGAAGGGCAGAGTCTGCCGCTGCTCCGGCACGGAGGCCTTGGGTGAGAAGTTGTTCTTCCTGCCGGGTGGCGAGGGATAGGAAATCCAGTCACTGCCCTGGTTCGTGCTGCTGAAGTGCGGAGAAGGGAATTTCCTCCCGAATACAGATGGTAGCAGCAGGGTGACTCCTTGCGTAGTGATGCTTAGAAGGAAGCACGGGTGTCTTGCTTTCATTGTGGCAGGCCTTGTTTCCCCTGCCTGAAATCCACTGCGTAGGGCTGGGATTGCAGGCTGGGCTGTAACCTGGTGAACACATGCCGAGAACACAGTCCTCTCAGCACCTGGGAGCCCTTTGGTTCCCTCTGATTGTCCTTATCTGTGGAGGAACCGAGGAGGAGTATGAAGTCCAAGCTTGTTCTGGGAACGTTATCGGTGCCGTGAAGTGAGATGCCCCTGCAGTACCGTTGTTGAGCTAGGCAGGCTGCCTTGCCCTGGCCTCCTGGGACTAGTCTGGCTGTGAGTGGACCCCGAACTCTCTCACTATCTTATCTCTGCACAGTCTCTCTGGCTCCAGCAGTCTCCTGAGGACCCTTCCCTGATGGAGTCTCCTGCTGTTTGACAAGAGCTTGAATGGAGCCATGGCTTTCACTTTCTCTCAGCTCATTGCCTGTGGAGGGGGGAGAGGGGCACCTGTATCAATGGGATCACCGGGACGTATCTGTTTCCCCTTCCACCCTACTCTGACTGCTGGGACCAGCTCATCACCTGGACCAAATCTGGCCACTCCCAGCACTGACCTATTTAGGTCCTTACTGGGGAATGCCCAGTGGTGGTCATGAGTCCCGAGGATCTAGGTGGCGAGTCAGAGCCGCCCTATAAAGGGTCGAAAGGCTCCATTGTCTTGATCCCTTTACTGGGCTACTGTCTGGATCCAACGTCCTCGGGAAAAGTGAGCTCACTGGGGCCTGTGTGCTGTCAGTCTGACCCCTGCCGGGCTCTACGCTGGCCACGGGGCGTCCTTCATGGTGCTGTGAAAGAGCATCGCAGGACAGGTGCTCTGCTGTTTTAAAGCCCTATCGGCCCTTTGGTGGTGGGGAAAGGGGGAGACAAGACAAGGATTCAGAAAAGCAGGAGCCGCTGGTTCTCTTCAAACCATCTGTGCCCTGTTTCCTTCTCTCTTAGCTTTGCTCTTCAGGACCGATTCCATCACAGGTCTCGGTGCTGTACCTAGCTAATACTTTGCACCTGTAGATCTCAACGCCCTTGACCAAGGTAGCGAAGGCAATCACGGCTGTGCCCATCTAGCTGCCGTGTTCCAGAGCTGGCTGACGTCCGCTCTGTCTGGGAAAGGCGCAAGTTGTAGACGAGCGCTTTCAGCTTTGGGAAAGCCAAGCGGATGCAGCACAGAGACCCCAGAAGAGCAAAACTACAGAGGTTTTACCCCTCGTCCTCCTGCAATGGCACAGCCCCATGGCTACTGTAAAAGTACAGAACAGGGCTTTAATGTGCCTGGCCGCTTATAGACAGACACTGTATACATGTGCATTGATACGTCATTTAACAAAAACAACCCCAAAGTGTCTGGCCGTTCCCACTTGGGTGGCTCAGCCTCCCTTCAGCCGTGGTCCGTCTTTTGAGGGAACAATGGTTGGAGCATTATGCCCATAGATCGCGGGGGGGGGGGGGAGGCTGCCAGCGCTCGGGGTGACACACGCAGGATGATTCCACTTCCTGGGTCCACGGGGAGTCAGTTCTAGCCCAGTGGGGGGGGTCCAGCGCTGCTCACTGGAGAGCAGATCCAAGCAGCGGTTTTAAATCCTTCACTGCTCCCGGGGCAGAGGGAGAGCCCATCTCCTTTTTCATTCCAAAAAATAATAAATAACACAGAGTCCTTTTAAAAAAACAACCCCCCAACCCGCCTCAGTCCGGGGCGGCTGCGTGCGGCTCAGGAGACGAGCATGGGCAGGAAGTGAGCGGAGAGGTGCTGGCGCCGCGTCTTGTCCCCCTGCCTGGGCCTGCCCTTGCCGTTGAGGGCCAGGAACATGGGGCGGTTCCCGGGGTGCCAGCGCAGCGAGGCGTAGGTGTTGTAGCCGTTCTCCTCGATGCGCTCTTTGAACTTGCAGTTGGGGTTAAACTCCTTCTGGGGAGACAGAAACGGGGCCGTGAGTGCGGTGCGGCTGGGGGTGTCTTCTGACTGGGGGGGGGGGGGGCTAGAGCAAGGAACCTCAAGAGTCCGGGGTTATATCCCCAGCTCCTGGCCGGGAATGAAGTTCCGAGGTTACAGCCGGAGAGTTCCAGCTCCAGGAAGGGAGTGGGGTGTAACAGAGCAAGACTCCGAGCAACGTGTGCATCCGTTTAGCAATGTGCTGCCAGCCCCCAGCAGTGAGGGCTTCCTTCCAGCAGCACGCTGCCTGTCTCTAAGCAGCTACCCGCCCCCTGACTTAGCAGCATCAGGCACAATGTCCTGAATGCCGGGCTGGGCTGAACAGGGTCCTGCTAGCTCCTATCCCAAATTCTCCAGCCGACCAGTCTGATCCCTGGTCCAGAACGAAGCCACAAGCCGTGCTCCCCACAGAGCGTCCTGTAAGGAGGGCCGAGGAGGAGGGAAAAACAGCTTGCTACCTACCGACCCGTATACTTTCCCCTTCTTGTTCATGGCCAGGTAGAAACCCGTGTGCACGGATTTGATGGCTACGACGCCCACTCGCACCGACCGGATCTCCAGGATGCCTGCGGGGAAACAGAGAATTCAGGGCACTGAATCGGAAGAGTGGAACCGTGCTGCAAGCGGGTGTGGAAAACAGCTGGGCTGCCATGGCGCAGGGCCCAAGGCGCTTCATTTCGTTAGCCAGCAAAGCCCCTGTGGAGACACATTTTGGCATCGCATTGCCTGCCACTGAAATGCAGCCACCTCTGGGGTGGAACGTGGCAGCATTTAGCAGCTTATTACAGCAATACTATATTCAATACCTAAGAAGCCTTTCATCCAATCTGTTCAAGGGAGGCAGAGTTCAGTCAGCTAGGTTGGAATCTGTCGAGGGCACCCATGTGTGGATGGTTCTGGTTGGACCTTTGTCAATGAGGCTGCCGGTAGCAAAACATCTTCCTATCGCTCCCTCAGCTTGCCTGACCTTTGATTCCCCAGTAACAGTCCGTAGGAGGCTTGAGTTAATTGAATGCCTCCCATCGCCAGAAAGCTGAGAGACGGACAGCTGCTGTCACCTGACTAACAAGGCATTGCTTTATGCGGAGAAGCTTGTGTCTCTCACCAACAGAAGCTGGTCCAATAAAAGATATTCCCTTGCCCCGTGTCACTTGACAGGGGAGTGACTTGAGGCTGGAAAGTGAACCAACAAGTGACTGAGTTACAAATTGCTCCATTATCCGGGGGTAGCCGTGTTAGTCTGTATCTACAAAAACAACAAGGAGTCTGGTGGCACCTTAAAGACTAACAGATTTATTTGGGCATAAGCTTTCATGGGTAAAAAACCCATTTCTTTGATGCATCCGAAGAAGTGAGGTTTTTACCCATGAAAGCTTATGCCTAAATAAATCTGTTAGTCTTTAAGGTGCCACCAGACTCCTTGTTGTTTTTGTAAATTGTTCCATTGAAACTCCTTGGCCGAGGAGAGCTTTAAGGAGGGATGGCAGAATAACCAGCAGTGCATGACCAAAGAGCTTACCATCTAAATGGACAACCGGTGGGAGATGAAACTGAGGCACAGAGATAAGCAGTGACTGGCAAGGTCATGGGCAGAGATGAGACTAGAACCCAGGTCTCCTGACTCCCAGTCCTGTGCACTAGGCACTGGGCAACACAGCCTCCTAATTATTGGTTGTGTTGCAGGAGCACCAAGATCCCCCAATCAGAAAGCGGTGCCCCACTCTCCTAGGCGTCCATACACACAATGAAGAAAGCCGTGTTCCAAAAAGCTTCAATCTAAATGAAGACTTTGGCCATGTTGGGATTTTGGGGCTGTAGATGAGTGCAGTGGGGACAGATGATGCACTTTCACTGAGGACCTCTTGGGCCAAACTCTGATCTTGGTTCTTCTCGTGAAAATCTGGAGTCACTCCATGGAGATCAATGGAGTGACGCCCGGTTTTCAGCAGTGTAAGATCAGAAATGAGTCCATTGAGAAATGCCAAGGTAAGCCCTACACAGAGCTTGACAACAATGCATGGGTGCTGTGTTATTTATTTGTCTTGTGATAGTCCAGGGCCCCATCATACTAGGTGTAAAAAGGGAGTCCCTGCCCACAGCAGAGAGACCTTTCAATTCCTCCAGGCCTGGACAGGTTTCTCCTTCCAGTCCCAATACAAAACAAAAAGACCCTTTGATACAGGGCTGGAGGGGGAGACTGGGGTTGCAGAGCTCCGCTCTGCGGCCTTCATCCTTCCAATCCGATCCCGCCCATGGCACAGAGTTGAGCCATACACGCTAAGGGTGGGAAATCCAGTTTCCTTGGGTTGCCCCAGCCTTGTGTGTAGAGAGCTGACAGCAGTGTTCAGTAGAACTGCTTACACATTTTCCATTGCCAGTTTTCCATCAGGAACTGTGGCTTCGACGAAATTGGCGGAAACGTATCGATGTTGTCAACATCAGACAGGAAATTCTTGAAGCGATTTCGTTTTGACTTCATTGTTTCAACTTTTACGGTATAATTTAGAATACAGACCACAGTCAAAACATTTAGACTTTTAATATGGCACAAAATGAACCAAAGTCAAAATATCTCCGTAGCGGCTGGTTTTGATGATTTGGAAATGAAATCTAGCCCTTTTCACTGTGTGATACACTTAGAAATTTTGACTTTTCCCTTGGCTTCGGCTCAAGAGATGATCCTCAGCTGGGGTGAAGCTGCAGAACGCCACTGACCTCAATGGATCTACAGTGACTTTAGGCCAGTTTAGAGATTAACAAATTTATCTGGGCATAAGCTTTAGCCCAGGAAATCTTATGCCCAAATAAATGTGTTAGTCTCTAAGGTGCCACAAGGACTCCTCGTTGTTTTTGCTGATACAGACTAACACGGCTGCCCCTCTGAAACCTTTATGCCAACTGCGGTTCTGCCCCAAAGCCTCTATCCCCAGGAGCTCAGACAACACAGAATGCCCTGGAATGCACAAAGAAGAAAAGTAATGTAGCTCACCAGACTGTCCTGATCACACGCACGCACGTGTTGATGTTGATTGAGCTCATCAGTGCAAACAGTTCCTGCCCTTGTCTGGGCTCAGGGGCCAGCTACTCAGATGCCGGAATCGGGGCTATTCCTGAATGCAGACAACGCCCTTAGAGTGATGGTGTTTTTATGATGCTAATACCTAGTGGTTACATGGAGCTTTGTCATCCGTAGATCTCAACGTGCTTTACAGAGGAGGTCTGTATCATTATCCTCCTTGTACAAATGGGGAAACTGAGGCACAGAACAATGTCATTTTCTTCTTTTGTACGTGCCCCAAGTTGATATCTAGACTGTTCAGCCCTCTAATGGCTGCATCATTGAGGGCACCAAGGTGTTGCAGTCCACCCTCCAATCTTCTAAACGTGCACTCCTGCCTCACTGCCCCACCCTCCCAATCTGTGAAGATTGGACTAAGCCACCTTTCTGCATTGTGGTAGCCGCTCTGGACCATGCAGGCAGTAGTCTGTGTAGCCTAGTCTAGGATCTGTATCCCAAGTTGCAAGCAGGTCAATTAGGGCTTCTGAAATTCATCTCTCGATCCCAGAGCTGCTGCCACTCTCCGAGGACATAGCTGTCAGCCCTGATATGCCCTGGTTCATCTGGGATTGGCACTGGGCTGGCGGCACTGGGCATGAACGTGAATGGCCGCTACAAAAGGATGGCGCCTTGTGTAAGTTTTGGGGGAGCTCTGTGTGCCAGTAGATACAAATTAGATATTAACGTGTGGAGACAAATTCCAGTTGCCCTCGAGAGCCAGGGATGGGACGAGGCGCCCCTTAATCCTGACAGACGGCCTTTGATATTTCCAACCAAAATTGGTTTCAACGCAGGCGAGAGGCCAAGGTTTATCTACAAAACAGCGGCAGCTGCGGGGTAACTGACCTTTCCCATCTTCTGAGCTGTCTGACGGGCCTGCCTCTGTTGAAGGCTCCAGAGGAATTCTCTGGTGGCAAGATTTCCCATAGACTCCCATTCACCCCAATGGTTCCACCTTCATAGACAGCCACTGAAAGGGAACGGGGAACAGTCTAGGGTTCTGGCTTTCACGACAGCAGGTTGGGGCGTTGAAGCTGAGCCAGGCTCAAGGGGGCGCCCTGGTGCATAGACATCACGCACGCAAATACGCCACCTCTGAAAACAGAACAGAGAGACAGTCCCTGCCCCAGGGACATTGCAATTGGAGTATAAGACCAGAGAAAATAGAGGGATCCAGACACAGGGGATTATACGGAAACAATGAGCCAATATCGGTCGGGATGAAAAGCAGCGGTCCAGGCACACCAGCAGCTTAAACGCTGTCAGGTTTGTTGTGGGAATCACAGCAGAGGAGCGTCTGAAGGCGGATCAGGAGGGAGCTTTGTGGATGTTTCCAGGGAGAGAGGGGGCAGCGTGGGAGAAGGCACAAAGGGGCTTGTTTGGGGAATGTAACAACGGGCTGGGATCTTGGGCCGGTCGGAGGCGGGAGTCGATGGTGGAGAACGAGACGTGAGCTCGGGTGGGGATCGGCCGTGAATGGCCTTGACCGTGAAGACAAGCAGCTGGGGTTAGATGTGATAGAGAAGGTGCTTAATAATCAGGGCCGGCTCCAGCATTTCTGCCGCCCCAAGCAAAAAAAAAAAAAGTCGTGATTGGCGGCGGCAATTGGGGAGAAAAAAAAAAAGCCGCGATCGGCGCAGGCAGTTCAGCGGCAGGTCCTTTGCTCCCAGAGGGAGCGAGGGACCTGCCGCCCCCAAATTGCCGCAGGTGCCGCCCCTCTCCCTTGGCCACCCCAAGCACCTGCTTGTTAAGCTGGTGCCTGGAGCCGGCCCTGTTAATAATAATAATTAACCTAGACTCCCTTAGACCCACTTATACTCGTGATGTGATCAGTTACTCAAAAACTTCCCACGCTGTTAGTCACAACCAGCTCAGTGGGCACAACGCCCTTGGGGTTTAGACCCTGGGGTATGGCGTAGGAGACCTGAGCTCAGTTCCCAGCTCTGCTACAGATCTCCTTGAGCAAACCACCTCACTGATGGCCCCAGTGCCCGCCGCAGGGAATGTTGGGAAGACGTTGCATCTGGTATGGACAAGACCCCCTAGCAGGAAAGCGCGTTCACTCATCAGGAAGCACAGAAAGCACCATCCAAAGGCCTAGCACGACTGAGACACCAGAGGTGCTGTGAGCACAGGAACGGGTGCAGTCTGGGATAAGACTTATGCTCGTCGTCTGACCTCCCGCGTGACACAAGCCAGAGAACCTCACCCAATAGTCCTAGAGTGGAGGGAATTCCCCTCCCCTTCTCCACCAGCCCAGCCACTTGTCCTGGAAGCTTCTGGGTTGGAAGGGAAAGCACGGTTACCGTCTCGGGCGCTGGCTGGGGAATTGGGATTTCTGTCCCAGCGCTACGTTCTCTGAGCTCCAGCTTGAAAAACAGGCCAGCGCTTTGATCCCAAGCTGCACGGGCAGCAAGATCAGCAAACAGCAAAGAACAAAACCACCCCAGCTCGGACCTGGCTGCATTAGCCAGGGTCGTCCTTTTCCCGCAGGCAAGGAGATGAAAG